CTCTGGTCAGTGCTTGTTGTTTTTAAATGTGCTTATAAATAACTTGATTTGACTTGACAGCATTCGCCCAAAAGATCTTCCCTCATTTGGTGTTTGATGATGGTGATGGAGATTATTAGACGGGACTCCCATAGTTTGATTCACTTGATTTTTATACTTGTTAAATCATCCAGTGAGCCCTGTGGATCGTAACCCAGGAAGAGATCACCTCCATGTTTCAATTTTGTATTGATTTACATTTGAACCCACATCAGCACAATCTCGCCCACAGACACCAGATCTCAGTGTATGAGTTTATTCCTTTAATTTGTTCACCATCTTTATATAACATTAAGTTGTTATCATCAGGATGTACGCAGCACTTCTATGTTGTAAACTCTCTCATTATTCAGGTCGCCCAGTCCACCTAAGGAATGCTGCAAGGATCCGATCAATCCTGAGCTTTAGTGGCACTCAGACTATCGTTCATGCTTTTATTTTCTCTCGGTTAGATTATTATAATGTTTTTTTTTTATCAGGCATCAATCAGAAAGCATAAGTAGGCAGCAGCAAGACCTCTTACAAGAACCAAGAAAACTGAACATATTACGCCGGTCTTAATGACTCGACACTGCCTGCCCATGACTTTTAGAATTGATTTGAAGATTTTACTCATTATTTTTTAAGCCCTTCATGGCCTGTCCCCTGAATTTATACCAATCATATCTCCCAACCAGTGTGCAGCCTCAGATTCTCAGGCAAAACCTGATAACTGCTCCCACCTCTCGCTTAAAAACAAAAGGCAATCGAGCGTTTGCTGTTGGGGTTGCTTTTGTTGTGGTATGAACTGCCTGAGGAAATCTGGCCTCATCAGTATCTTCTTTTAAATGACTGCTAAACACTTTTTGGGGGAAATTTTAACATGGATTTTATATTGTCTGACATTCTTAGCTTATCTTATAACTTCTAAAGTTTTATGTTGATTTTAAGTTATTCCTTAAGGTGGAATCATACTGTGTTTTATTCCTATTCTTATACTGACTACATACAGAACTTAATATATAAATTGTTTTGAAAATTTCCATCTAGTTTGTTCTTTTTTTCTGTGTTTCTAGTACTTTGTAACACTGGTTTTGATCATTTTTACAAATAATGTTTATTATGATTAATATTTTTATTATTAGACAACTTTGGCTTATGCTTGGTGATTTAATGCATTACACTGCGTATAATTCTATATATTTGTCATGTGTTAGCTATTAAATCTAAAGATGATATAATTAATATAGCATCAGATGCACTTTTGTAAGCATATGGAAGCCAAAATAATAAACAACAGATGCTTCGTGTCAAAGGTGTTGTTAATTATAAAGTTAAAAAAAGAGCCAGACCGATATAGGATGTTTACGACCAACACCGATATTTGGTCTGACAAATGTTTTCTTTCAGACATAAATAGATTTGCCTAACATTTATTATGTGTAGTTTTCTATTAGTCCTTACTAAGAAAATATGATAATGCAGATTAAAAATAAACGTTTATGTTCTGCCCAACTCTACTCGGTTGCTGTGTTTTGTTGCCAATGGGGAATGTGCAGAGTGCCCTCTGGTGGACAAACATAGAAACATAAGCACTCGTAACATGGTTGAATGGTGTTTCTCAGTCTCTTCTTTACTTTTTTATAACTATTTTTTTTATAGTCATTAGCAATTATAAATGCAACCATTAATATATTGGCAAATACCTCATATTGGCCGTATATTAGCCAGGGTCCAATACACTTTTCATTATTGATGGCTTCATATTACCTGCAAATTTTTGGTAATTGTGCAGTCATGAGGACTAAGTCAAGCTGGTTATGCTTCACTATACTAGAACATGGGCAGTTAAAAAATGTCAAAAGACTTCCTACCTCAGCTTCACTGTTATCCCATTCAAGCTCAAGCGTGGTAGAGGTCTTGGAAACGAGACGCAAGTTCTTGGGGGCATCAATCTCTGAGAAAAACGATAAAGCTGACAATGTTGGGGACACTGAGACCCATTCTCAGAGATTGTGAACAAGCAAACAACAAACACAGGTCACATTAAATTGTCAGTTACTCATATTTAGCTCTTCATGTTCATCAAACACATTTCTCTTTGTATTTTTATAAGGTGTATCCTCTTCAGTTTTCTGTAGATTTTACTTCAAGTATCAACCACAAATAGATATTTAATGTGTAAATATGGCATCAGCGGGGAAAAACAAATCAGCATAGTGTTTCCATAAATAAGTACAAACTTTAGGAGCGTAAACATTCCCCTGAACAGATGTTCACTACTCCCTCCAATACAGATAAAAAGTGTGGCGTATATTAGGCCATATGTCATTACTGTTCTACTCTCAGAGGCAGACGCAGGATCACACACACCAGTATCACCACATCTGCTTGCTGTCAGACCTCACCGGTAGTAAATTCAGTGGAAATGGATCCGCTCTCGTTTCCTCTTCTCACGCCGCTCACTGTCACCTCGTAACGCGAGCCAGGACGCAGGACCTGTGGAGAGGAAAAAAACCCAAAACAACAGAGGCCGTTTAGTCTGTGTATAATCTCTTTGCATTATGTTTTTTTATGTGTTTGTTTTCTATTTGTTTTATCTCCAGACACAGAAGGCAGACAGACTGTGAGATTAGATCGTTTAACAAGCATGGCAAGTACAAACACAGACACACACACACACACACAGATATACTGGTAATACTATACTTGTGACCTATAATGACTCTAGCCAAGTCTCATTTCAAAGCACACGCACCTGCAGAGAGTACTGGCTAAGTGTGGGCTGGAGGCGGAAGGTGGTCCGTGGCCCTTCTCCTCCCACGAGGCCGTAACGCAACACAATCTGATCAATCTTTGCCCTCGGTGGCGTCCACTCCACAAATGCCACTGTGTCCGACACGTCACGCACAATCAGCTGAGTGGGACCATCGATTACTGCAAAACAAAGAAAATGTCTAATTATAAGGTCCCTTGGTGATGTTGTTACAAACAAAGCACAGTCACCAGGGTGCGGTTTCTTTGTTAACCTTTCCGAACTTGGATGAAGTACATGTTGACCAGGCTGGGTATTAAAATTGAATGCCAAACTATTACTTGACAATTACTATTACAAGTTATGATCTCTTAATTTTTCACAACGCACTTGTGTTTTATCATAGTTTAAAAAAGTTAACTTTCATTATATGCAAAGTTAAATACTTCACTTGAGGATGGCCCCAAAGCAAATCAATCCCCACACACGCCCACATTAATAGAGATAAAAATAGTCTGGAGAAATAACTGTCTGGTTTTGGATAGATAATTTTTTCTTTCGTGACAACTGTGCGAGAGGTGACTTTCTTTATGGCTTAAGAATCTAAAAAGCTTTTAGGTTAAGGGGTATTTATTATTAGAGGCATGGCTGCTTTGACTGATTTGTGCTGCGAGCTGTGTGCGAATTCAAGTCACTTAACTTGACCACTCAACCGGTGTTGGTGCTTTTCGGGGCATTTTAAATGTAATTAAAATAATATGGCTTGTTGAGCAGCTGATTATACTTTTGTAGTTAAAAAAGAAAAAAGGTTTTAAAATGGGGCTTAACCAATGCCTGAATACATAAAGTAATAATATAGAGAATCTATAGTTTAGACCAGTTGGAGAGACATCCCCAGAAAGAAACTGTCAGATGGTAAACATTTGAACAGATTATTTACTGAATAGCATTTAATCTGTCATTTGATCCCAAACAAGCTGAACCCCTAAAATGTAATCTAATCCCAAGAGGATGTAGTGTCATCGCCTTGAATTTTCTGGAGCGCTGGATGTGGATTTGATATCAGTGAAAGCTGTTCTGACAGCCAGTCACGAAAAACATATCAGACCTGACGCACGCTGAGACAGTAGGATTTATCTGCGTGAAAGGGTTAAAACATAAGCCGTGATTGAAGTCTTTCCATGCTGATTGCTAGAAAACAACACTTATCAAGTTCGCAGAGCTCAAAATACATCAAGGGAAAACACAAATGTCTGACAGAGGAGGGATTCACTAAACATTTTCTCTGCACTTGTTACAGCATCTACGCCAATACACAGACATTTTGTCAAGGTAATGGGGTGTTAGAGAATGTGATAATTAGCACTTTATTTCATTAACCTGTTAATTACCTCTTTCCGCAGAAGCTACGGTTTAACATCTGCTGCATTTAGCATATTGTCTGGGAGAATGAAGGAGCGTTTGATCTCAAATTGAAACTTTTCGGCATAAATTTGCTGCCGTTAAAAGAAGTTCAGAGCTTAAAATGAAATGGCATTCTCGCACAGTTCGTGGCACTTAATTTGAAGTAATCAGCTTTTTGGTTCCGTTTGAAAAATGCGTGAAATTTTTAAATGTTGAGGTACTGACCAACAGAAAACTCCACAATGGATAGTTCAGTATACATATTTTTTAATTGAAAGCACCATGCTGTGCTGTAAAACCATAATTATTTTCCACTGCTCAACCCTGTGGGAACTCAGGTGAAAGGCAGATCTCACATACTGGGTGATGTAGAGCCAGTTTTCTTTTCTTTCAAACCTTTTTTTCTCTTCTTTTTAATTTTCTGAGGTCTAAATAAAGTCTCAGACTAAGGCCTGACATATTGCAGGTCCGGCCTGATTCTTGATGTATTAGAAATTGGCCCCAAGGGTCTCGTCCTAGAAAGCATCCCAGGGAAGACCAGTTCCCAGATCAGCTGCGCTCACTCTCTGGCTTTACTCTGACTCCTCATGGCGCTACGTTGTCTCAGAGGAAGGATAAATCGTTGCTCTAAATTATTTAGTTACTTCAAATTTGTCTTTTCCTCTTTCTTTATCCAATACGGTGTCATAGAGTGGGCTGCCGTAAAAAAATAATGAGCGGGTGCCATGAATTATTAATCGATACTTAATTACAACCCAAGAAATGAACAAAGACTTGACAGGAAATTGATGGTGTTTTGACTGTGCATATCAGAGGCTGAATTGTTATGGAGGAGGTTTGAATTGGATCTATTACAGCTGTCTAAGTAGTGTCGCATGGGTGAGGAGTGGGGGGTGGGGTGGGGGGTGGGGGGGCAATACTTCAGTGAGGTTTACGTCAGGGGCCTAAATGGTTTGCAGAGCAAATACGTCAAGGTGACATTCGCTGCTTTGCTGAGCGTACAGTGAGTCGGGAGCGTGCAGGGAAAGCTGTGCTACGGTTTATGTCGAAGTGATTAGCTAATTAACTGATTAACAGAAAACTTTTTGTAAACATTTATGCAGTTTCATTAAATATTTAGGTTTAGCACAAAATATGCTAAACTGTTTCTTTTTTTCAGTTTACAATTACAAGGATTAAGCAAAATAAACGAAACAAAACCCCCAAAAATCATCAGACTGAACTTATTTTTTGGCCTAATCACGTTCCCAGTTTACCGAGGATAAAAACTGATTTAGCTTAAAAAGGTTACAAAAAAAACCCATTCCCTGCAACCCTCAACATGGTAAGCAGATTCTGAAATGGATGACTGAAAGAATTTATGGTTGATCAGCGTCGAATTTTATAATCACAATTCAAAAAAAGGTGGGACGCTGTGTAAAATGTACATAAATAGCAGAATCTCTTCTAATATTCTTAATCAAATATATAAGATCTTTAAATTGTACTATTTAATGAAAAATATTGGCTCATTTTCAATTTGAGGACCAGCTGCTTGTCCCTCTTTTGTCTGAGAGACGAGTCACTCAACAGTTGTGGGTCTTCTTTGTTTTATTTTTCATGCTTTTATGTGTTTAAACTTGGAGAAACTCTTCTACTATGAAGCCATTCTGTTGTAATAGCTGCAGTTTGTAGTTTAACATTGTCTTGCTGAAATATTCGAGGCCTTCCCTGAAAAATATGTCATCTGGATAGAAGAAAATGTTTCTTTAAAACCTGTTTACACCTTTCAGCATTCATGGCGAGCTTCCACATGTGCAAGCTGTCAGTTACATATGGCACTGCCATACCATCAAAGATGCAAGCTTTTGAACTGAGGACTGATGACAACCTTGTCATTTTTAGTCCCTCTTTAGTCCAGAGGATCTGGCATCCATGATTCTCAAAAATAATTTTAAATTTTAACCACAAAACAGTTTTCCACTTTGCCTCAGTCTACTTTAAATGAGCTTCAGCTCAGAGAAGATTATCATCACCACATATGGCTTCTTCTTTGCAGAGCAGAGCTTTAACTTGTATCTGTTGATAGCATTGTGAACTTTGTTCACATATAATGTTATTTGAAAGTGTTCCTCAGCCCATGCTGTGATTTCCATGCTGGCTGAGGGTCTGAAGATCATGCACAGTACTGAGTTTCAGTCTTGTCCCTTGCACACTGATATCTCCAGATTCTCTGCACCTTTTGAGGATAATATAGACGTACGACATATGACAACACGCATTATTCTGAAGTTGTTCCCTGATTTGTAGATGCAGTGTTTTTACAGAGCAGTGAAACTCTGCCCATCTTTTTAAAGATGATCTTTTTAGTCCTGTTCATGTTACTTACCTGTTGCCAGGTAACCGAATTATGTGCAAAACATTCCTCCAGTTGTTTTTTTTAGTACTATTTTCTTTTCAATGCTTTTGTTGGCCCATCCCAACAAAAGCAATTGTGTCATATTACTGCCATCAAATTAAAAAATAACTAATACTTCTCATGAAATAGTAAAATAACCCAGTTTAAACATTTTATACGTTTTGTATGTATGTGAATAAAATATGGATTTATGAGATTTGCAGAAAATGGCCTTTCTTTTTAACGCACATTTCGCACAGCAGCCTAACATTGAATACAAATTTTGGTGGTTATAATATTATAGCTAATTGTTGTTAATTTACAGCTTCCAAACTGAATACATACGTGTTGTGACAGTAGCTGTGACTGGCTGGCTTCGACCTTGGTCCCGGAGCGCCACCAGGTTCACTGTATATTCTTCGCCTGGCCTCAAACCAGTTTGCACAAATGACGTGATGGTGCTGGGCAGCTGTGTAGTCATCCCTCCATCATTATCCTGGAAGAAAAGCAAGGATTAAAGTGACAAAGGGGAAGGAAGAGAGAGAGAAAGCTCCTATCTGTTTTAATTTTTCAGTAAATATCAGCAACTGTGTGGCACAAACAGCGTCTCTCAGTGAAGGTAAGAAAAAGGCCCTCCCCCAATGACAGAACTTCAGCAGCTAATTTACATGCAGTACATTTTCTGTGTTGTATGCTTAAACTTTTGGAAGGTTTAGCACATTAAATTCCCAAACCGAATATCAAACGGGCTAGAGTGATATTTCTCTGGCCATGTTCTGCAAAGGCAGCACTGTGTGCGTTTCCAAAGGCGTGTCACTCATCCATACAGAGTCACAGCCATTCCCAGCTGTTCTCAGAGAGCCAGCATTGCTAATGCACTACCTGCCATCACACAGATGTTACACCCACTGCTGGTCCGAGATCTCCAAACCCCTGCGCTTTGACGGTTGCTATTAAAACAGAACATATAACAGCTTGCTGCTTTCCTGAATCAAATCTGTAATTAGAGATGTAATCCATTTAATCACCTCAGCTCCAATTACCAGGGTGGGCAGTAACACTCACAATGGTAATGTTCTAACAACAAGTGGTGTTCAATCTCAATAATAATACAGTTTCATGGAGGTAATGCTAAATTAAGCAAAATGAATCACCACAAAAGTATATCCCACTCCCATCTCATGTGTCACTTTGCTCATAATTAGTCATCATTATCTGTGCCGACAAGATCGCTTTGGCGACTTAGTCCCTTGTATTTTCTATTGCTTCCGTTTCACTGGATGAAAAGAAAATGTAGCAATTTAACTGCCCATTCATACATTCACTGTTTTCATTCTTTTCTAATGATAAGAACTAGTGGGTTTTTAGTCATCTCACAATTCAGAGGAAAAAATTCTGTACAACAAATACATCTAATTTGTTTACAGTTATCCGCGCTGAAAACTTATGTATGAAAATCATTCATTATCCTTTTTAAACAGACAGCAATAGACGGTAACAAGGAAGATCGAAGAGTTCCCCCAGCCCGACACACAAAAGTATAGTCTGTTATTCAAAGTAACGGTGACACTGCTCCCGGAAAAGACGTTCCCGTCTTTTGTCTTTTAAATGTCATGTTTAATGCTGTGAGCACAAATATCAAAAAATCATCAACTTTGTTGAGAAACACTTCCTCAAAGACTAGTAGGAGAAAGTTAACAACATGTGTGCACGAGCTCGTTTGTTATCCTCTCATTTATTAACACAATTCTTTTTAAGGTGA